CCCGGGCAGGTCTCGAACCCGCAGGCTCAGGCAATCCACTTACCTCAGCCTCCCAAAGGCACGGGATTACAGGCTGAGCCACCGAGCCCAGCTAGTATCTCCTTTAGTGTTTCTCTAACATGTGATTTAGTGCCTGGCACATAGTAGGTAACTAATAAATATATTTGTTGGGTGCATATATGAATTAATAAGTGGGCAAATGGATTGAATGAACCACATCTTTCTGGAAGAATCAAGAAGGGCTACTAAAAGGAAGCCATTTTATTTTACTTTTTTAGAAACAGTCTGGCTCTGTCACCCAGGCTGGAGTACAGTGGCACCATCATAGCTTACTGCAGCCTGGAATTTTTGGCCTCAAGCAATCCTTCCACCTCAGCCTTCCAAGTAGCTGGGACGACAGGCTTGTCCTGTAGCCTGGCTAATTTTTTTTTTTTCATAGCAACAGAGTCTTTCTGTGTTGCCTAGGTTGATCTTGAACCAGCCTCAAGTGACCCTCCTGCTTTGGCCTCCCAAAGGGTTGGAATTACAGGTGTGAGCCACCACTCTCAGCCATATTTAATTTTTTAGAGCTTTATCTCAAATGCTGTTGCATATATGCGTGCATGCATTCAATCATTTACTGAGTACCTGCTGTGTACCAGGTGGCTAAGGTAGAAAAGGTCTCTGTCTTCATGAAGGTTGCGTTCTAGTGGGAGGGGGACAACCCTAAGTAATCAAACGAACATTTCAGATATTGACAGGTTTGATGGCGATATTAACACAGGTTAGTGGTGGTGGCTTGGGGAGGCACAGATCAGGGTGGCTGAAACTCAGCACCTGTAGGGATGGCACAGGTGAGCAGCTTATAAGCAAGTAGGGCACAGACACAGATATGAAGCGCAGGGCCATGTAATGAAGGGTGGAGGAGGGGTGTGAACCTGAGGTCAGGCTGTGGTGGGGAGACAGGAGGGGGTATGGGAAACCTCCCATAGGCGGAATCCACAGGAGACTGGAGGAAGGTGTGATTCTCAGGAGAGGAGGAGGCTGGATACAGAGGCATGAGGGTGGACCAACTTTCACTTGTTAGGGTCAGTGGCCTCTAACTTGGGAAGGGAGTCTGTCGATGTTTTTATTCTACTCTTGGACACACATCACTGCTGGGAATCCAGCAGGGAAGGTAGACAGGGGAGTGAGAAGGAGCCCGGCTGGCTCTCAGGACTGGCTGGGAGGAGTGTGGTGTAGGGAGGGCAGCACACAAGACCTTTTGCCTTTCTTCATTTTCTAGCCTGTATTCCACGTCATGGGATTCTCTGTCACTGGGAGAGTCTTGAATGGACCTGAAGGAGAAGGTGTCCCGGAGGCAGTAGTCACTCTGAATAACCAGATCAAAGGTGGGCTGATACACTGGCCCTGAGATTGTTCGCCAGTGCTTTTTTTGGATCACAGAAATGGACAGGAAGTGAATCTTAACAACTGTGTGAAACATGCCAGCTTTTTGTCTCACATATTCTTGTGTATGTGTAAGGATGTGCAGTTGTATTGGGTTCATCTTGTGTGTGTGTGTTTTTGTTTTATAGTCAAAACAAAAGCGGATGGCTCATTCCGCCTAGAGAACATAACCGCAGGGACGTACACCATCCATGCTCAGAAAGAGCACCTCTACTTTGAGATGGTCACGATCAAAATCGCACCGAACACACCTCAGCTGGCCGACATTATTGCAACTGGGTAAGCTTCACATGTGTGGATTTGGATGCACCGGTGCTTGTGTTGCAGCCATTGGAGAACAGAATGACCGGCAAGCTGACTGTGTTTCTGCCAAGTATCCGCATCCAGCTGTGATACCTGTTGAGAAGCTCAGGATGGCTCCTTTAGAGAGATTGGTGTAAACCTTATAAATTGGATGCTTTGTGAAAATTCTCTTGATTCACGTTAAAATGAATTTGTTATGTCAGGAAAATATTCATGTCTGCCTTTACATCTGGGTGACTTTCCTTTGCTTAATCCTTGAAGACACCGGAAGGTAGTATAGTTGGTTGAGGAATTTCCTTGCAAGGTGCTGCAGATCATTGGCATGGTTCTTCCTGCTTACTAGTTAGTGGTTAGATTTTGTAAGTACAGGAGGGGACATCCTCGGTTGAATTCGTGTAGTTTTATCGTCATCTGAAGCAGGATCGTGTAGTGCAGAGACCCCGGGCCTTGGAGTCAGTTCTTGGGTCTTTCCCTCCCCTGCATGTGACCTGCAGAATAGGGATGCTGCTGTCTTGCTTTTGGACAGAACAGGTGCTCACAGAGCAGTAGCTTGGAAGCTTAGGAGAGAGGTATCGTGAGCCAAGGCCAGCCATGTCAAGCAGCATGAGGGGGATGAGAGTGTCAGGCTGGGTGCTGTGGCCATGTACTGGTAGACCAGGGAACGTGATGGAGCCAGAAGGGCTGGAAAGGGCAGACCTCAGAGCAGTTCCTCACCCATCAGAGCATGGGGGCTTCCTCCAGGTGACATGGGGCCATGAACGGATTTGAGCACGATTTGATCTTTGCTTTCAGTAGGGCATTCTCCTGGCATGGAGAAGGGCGGCTTTGAAGGGGACATGACTAGGGTGTGGGAGGCTGGAAAATAAAAGTCAAGGACAGGTTGGCATGATAGGGGTGCCCAGCTTGAGAGGTGGGATGGCTGGGGATAGAAAGAAGAGCCAGTGAGGTGATGAGGGTTCGGTTTTGGCCGTGTGGGTCTGCGGGACGACTAGATGGAGCTCTCTAATAGGTGCTTGGACAGGTTGTAAATCAGAAGAGCTGGAGGCAGGCTTATCTAACCAGAACTCCAGTAGGCACAAGCAGGGGGGACTAAAAGAACAGTAGACTCAGAGTGGAGTGCTAGTGCTGATGGGTTGGCCCAAGGAGGACTTGGAGGGGTGATCATAGGAGCTAAGAGAGAAAAGGTACAAGGTGGTGCCTGACCAGCAGGTCCCAGAAGTTGAGCCCGGAAACAGTTCATTGGCTTGGTCTCTGAGGACACCATGGGATCCTTTTCTCTGGACAGATGCGGGTCAAAGTCAGGCGGTTCAGTGGTAAAAGGGAGGTGAGGAAGCAAATCGCCCTCAGAAACTACTTCTTGGGTTGAAACCCACCCTTCCTTCTGAGTGACTGCTCCGGGAAAGGCACTGTGAGAAGCGCTGAGTGTATAATAATCAGGCAACAACCCAGAGATGGGCTTTCACCTGCTGGGGAGACAGACCTAAGACACACATAACTGTGGTTATCACTCACAGCAAGATACCTGGGCACAGTGAGGAGACCTCACTTGGGTCGGGAGCTCTGGAAGGTGTTCTGGTTGCCAAGCCTGTAGGGAAGACTAAAAACCTGGTTGGGCCTTCCCAAGAGGGGAGCAGTGTGCTCAGGCCTGGACAGAGTGGACAGATCCAAAAGGCAGTTGATGTGGCTGGGGGCAACTGTCGAGGCCCGAGGGCACAGAGCCCCAGGTGTGCTGTGGGGACGGGCTCCTTTTCCCAAATGCAGTGAAAATGGGAGGGCTGGTGGCAAGAGAGTGATATGATCGTGACATTTACAAAGTTTGTTTCCTTCTTCGCCACTGTGTGGAGAGTGGATCGAGGGATGCCAAAGTGTGAGTGGAGGGATCAGACAGAGGTGGCGGCAGTTGTCCAGAGGAGATACGGTGGGACTGGGACCAGGGTGCTGGTGGGGGTAGGAAACGGATGCACGTGATGGGTCACGCAGAGTGAGCACCCCCAGGTTTGTGCTGCTGGAGTCCCAAGTTTCTTATCTGAGCTGCTGGTGAAGGGAGGAGGTGCTGTTCACAGAGACGGGGCACAGGCATTTTTTTTTTCCTTAAAGGGGAATATTTGTACCAAAGAAAGAAAAATCACATTTTTGAGCATCTTTGGAAAAACTCATCTTTTTCTTTTGGGCAAGCACAGCACATTTGCCTTTTTAACACACTGATATTTCTTGTTTTCTTTTTTAAAAAAATTACCCAACTTATTTTAAATGTAAACTTGGACACCTCTCCAAATGACTATGAGAATGTAGTTATCTCAGTATCCACCAAGTTTACCAGTTTCTATCCAAAATATATTAAATCTTGCTAAAAGAATTTATCAGCACACCAAATCAACTTTTAGGGCTTCAGTAACAGGTGGGGGTCTGACTTGGCCCATTGGCCATAATTTGTTGAGTGAGCTCATGTGGCCGGGTGCTCACTTCCCCCTGAAGAAATGGATGTGCTTTTAATTTTTCTTAGATTACAGATATACAGCCTATCACCATTTTGCTGTTCCTCTGTTTTGTATTTGAGGCAGAAAAGTCTCAAATAAAGGGCTTTGGTATAACCAAACCTCCTGCCAGCTTTTGGTTTATTTTTCCACACCAAACCAGTATACATTTGAGGTTTGGGGAAAACAGACTCTTCTCCTGAATGAGAACATGAGCTCAGACAGATCTTATGGCTAAAGTGTTTACAACTTAGGGAGGTAAAGAGCTTTAGCTGGAAATGCTGAATTCCAGCATTCCGTGTACCTCATAATTGTCAGAATCCAACATTCTGTGTTATTTTTCTGTCGAAAGTAACAACTGCTTTTTATCTAAAAGAATTCCCTAGGATTAGGAAGTGTGACCTTTAAGCAGTTGAAGAAATTGTTGTGGCATCCAGCTGTGGTACATTACTACTTTAACACACTGCTGGCTAAAATGGAGACTAGCCACCAGTGTGGTCTTGTGGATGTGCCTTTTGTGTGGTTCTCCCGGGACACTTTGCGGTGGCTTCTGCTCACTTAGAACCACAAATCTGAGCCATTGCCTCACCAGGGCTTTTCACTCAGAAGTTGTGTTTGTGACTCTTAGCGCCTAAGGAGCTCAGTTTTAGCTTTGCTTTTTTTTTCTTATTTACCTTTTCAGTTCCAATCTCTATTTGCTTTTATCCCTGCATTATGTATCATCACAAGCAAGGAAGATGTCTTTGACCAACCTGCCTTATTTTATGGCCTGGTTAATGCCAGTTTCTTAGGCTGCTCCCAGCTCTTGCTTTTAAGGGCTAGCCCACATTTTCACTTTGAGGCTGCTTCACTATCAGTGATCGAATTACCTGAAATATTTGTATTATCTGCAGGTTTTCTGAAAATTCCTTCTATAATGGGGGATTGCCAGATATCACTCAGAACACACGGCCCTACCGTGGGCCCCTGCTCTGCAGAAAGTGGTCCATCCAATCTCCTCCCCAAAAGCTGCTTTTTAAAACCATAGTCATCTGGACTCCCTTCAGTGCCTTCATTAAGTTAAACTAGTCCCAGGAACAAGGGCTGGGAGAGGGCTGCGTCCTTTTGGTTGATAATAGACTTTCCTGTTGTAATTGAGTTCTCACTTCTTTTTGCAGGTTCAGTGTCTGTGGTCAGATATCAATCATTCGATTTCCTGACGCTGTCAAGCAGATGAGTAAATACAAAGTTGTCCTATTGTCTCAAGACAAGGACAAGTCTTTGGTCACCGTGGAGACGGATGCTCATGGATCATTTTGTTTTAAAGCAAAACCAGGGAGTTACAAAGTTCAGGTACTGTGAGTTTTTTAAAATTCAAAATGTTTGAGAAAAAACAATGATTTTTAAAAGGTTGTTAGCTAAACATGGGGTTTGAGAAGGAGCGTTCCAATTTCCTACTTCTTACATTTTATTTTTAAATTTTTTTTTACGACAAAGTCTCATTCTGTTGCCCAGGCTAGAGTGCAGTGGCACAATCACAGCTCACTGCAGCCTCAAACTTCTGGGTTCAGGCAAATCCTCCACCTCAACCTTTTGAGGAGCTAGGACTACCGGCATGAGTCACCACACCTAACTAGTTTTTGGATTTTTTTTTTTGTGGAGATGAGGTCTTGCTATCCTGGGCTCAAGCAGTCCTCTTGCCTCAACCTACCAAAGTGCTGGGATTACACATATTAGTCACTTATTTCTAATTCTTCATGTTCCTGCACGTCACAGCTAGTAGAGCTGGATAGGTATCTAGTCCAAAAATAATGCTGCATGCCTTCCTCTTTTCCAGTGGTGTTTATCAGGGGTCAGTATCAGGGTACTGGTCTCTCCTCTACCTTCTTAGGCTTCTGGCTGATGTAGAAAATCCATGTGTCCAAGATGAGGTCAGAATGAACTCTTTATTAATGGCAGCTAAAAAATTACCACGGTGGATTGCTTCTGGGACTCTAGGCCCAAGTGAAACTTCCCGTTTCCTGCTTTGTCCTGACCTGAAGACAGCTGGGCAGGGACCGTGTGTCTTATCCAGACAGAGAAGTGAGAGAGGACCTGGCCTGTTGTCTCACCATGAGGGTGAAGGCCAGAGCACCGCCAGGCCAAGTCAGCAAGAGACAAGACAGAGCAGAGGCCAGCCCACTGTACCTTTCAGAACAGAGCCCTGACCTTGGGAAAGACCATGTCTCTGGGTCACAGACTCTCAGTCATCACATCAGCAGTGGCTCCTCCTCGCAGAAGAACAAGTAATGTGAGGGAGAGGGCCGGAAGGGTTCCCTCAGCCTGTGTTTTCCAGGGCAGAATAGATGCCTCCTTCTGTGGTACACCAGGTAGGAGATGGTGTTCTCTCTGTTCCCGCTGAGCGGTATGGTATGTGTGTTGACAGCTGCCTTTGTAGATGGCAGCCAGCTTCGTGCAGAGATGGCCATCTTGGCAGGCCTTTGAAGCCCTTTCTGAAACATGATGGACTTTTCCAAGGAATGGCAATTCCATAATCTAATCTTTACCAGGGATAAAATAGGTGACGACTGCTCCTTCTCCCATTCCTCTTCTTAGCCTGGGAAAGCTCCATGGAAGAAAAGGAAGAAGAAAATGGCTTAATTCCACCCAGGAGTCAGCCTTATAGTGTCGACAAGTTCACTAAGCTAGGAAGAGGGACCGGGATCTAGTGTGGTTTCCAGCCAGTATACCAGTGATCCTGCCCACCCTGTGGGTCCCTGGGGAATTGTGCCTGATACATTGGTGCACACCACGGGACTATTGACAACGAGTGTTTTATGTTAGGTATCTATGTGCTTTCTTAAGGCAAGTTACTCGTGGATTTGTTGTGATTATAAAACTTGGCCTGGAAATGAACCTTTGTCCTTCCTAATCTACTTAGCCTGGGACTCAGAGGAACATAAGTCGGGGGAAGACACCCCTAACACAGCCTCTAATGTTCCTTCCACGTGTTTCTGCAGGTGATGGTTCCCGAGGCAGAGACCAGAGCAGGGCTGACATTGAAGCCCCAGACATTTCCTCTTACTGTGACTGACAGACCTGTGATGGATGTGGCCTTTGTGCAGTTTTTGGCATCAGTTTCTGGGAAAGTCTCTTGTTTGGGTAAGGTGTCACTTGAAAGCAAAAATAGAGAATTTCAAAGTAGGCAGGCAGGATGGAATTTGAGTGAACTTTTCCTCATTGGAAGCATGAAAGATACATGCAGAGCTTGTTCCTGGAAAGTGGTTTTTGAGAACCTTACTGCACAGAATTCTTTCTGAATAATTGCCTCATGAGTCACCAGAGCATTCTCTTCGAGTTTTTCTGCTTTGGCTCCCAAAGGAGCACACAGGTTTCTTTTTTTTTCCCTCTCTGACTGGGAGGAAGATGGCATTGAACCCAGGTTTCAATCCTAGCTATGTGTCTTACCAGCTGTGAGACTATGCATTTTACTTGCCCAGCCTCAATTTTTCATTTGTGAAATGAGAATACTACCACCTCAAGGTTTTTAATGTGATCATGTCAAGAGGTAGTGCAGCACAGTGACTGAGAGCGTAGACTCTGAAACTGGATTTTATGGACTGGACCTCCAGCAATGTGACTGGGGCAAGTTACCTAACCTCTCTGTGCTTTCGAGTCCCTTATGTGTAATATGGAGATAGTAATAGTACCTACTTCACAGGGTTGTGAGGACCAAGTGAGTTGGTGTGTATAGAGCCTGTAGAATCATACGTGTGACACAGAAAGAGCCATGTAAATCTTTGCTGTTGTCAGTAACAATGTCATTACTATCAAGGGCCTGGTTCCATGCCTGGTGTAACACAGACGTTCAGTCACTGCTTCATCACTTTTCCCCTCTTTCTGCTCTTTCTGGTGCTCCATAAGTGTCACTTTCTCCATTTCATCCATTTCACTTAGTAGGTTCTCTGGGAATGTTGCTTTTTCTTTTCTCTCTTCTGCTCCGGCTCCAGCAGGAGCATTCAGTAAACGATAGGGCTGCCTGCACTTGCATTGTTAGCCACTCAGACCCTGCATCGGGGAGATGTCTTGAACTTGAGTGGGTGCATTTTATCTTGAAAGAAGCCGCCCAACACCGCCTCTCAGGAGCTCAGCAGTAGCACACAGACCACAGAAGCTGAGGATCAAGCATGGGCTCAGTGTTGGGGAGGGCAGTCACATGAGGCCTTCCCTCTTTCCTCTGCAGACACCTGTGGTGACCTGCTGGTGACCCTGCAGTCCCTGAGCCGCCAGGGGGAGAAGCGAAGCCTCCAGCTCTCCGGCAAGGTCAACTCCATGACTTTCACGTTTGACAGCGTGCTTCCTGGAAAATACAAAAGTAAGAAGTGCACACTACCTCTCGTGGCCCTCACATACTTCCTGTCTCTGTAAACTTTTTAAAATCCAGTTCTCAGATTGTGTCATGACAATATATCTTTGTTTAACTTTTCTTTGCCCATGACATTGACCGAGCATTACTTAGTGATGTAGGAGTTGAGGTCTGCGAACTCAGTGCCACTGATGACTCCTGGCTGCTTCTCTTTAGGGAGGGTCCCTGACTCATGCCATTTTGTTTCTAAGTGCCAGAAGAGAGTATGAGTTAGTTCCACTGACGTGTTCTACCAGTTCACACCAGTATGACCTTGGCAAGTTCCTTGATCTCTCTGAGACTGTTTTTCCATCTGTGAAACAGGCGTAATAGAGCCTCCTGCAGAATATAGAACTAAATGAAGTTTGTAAAGCCCCATGTATAGTGCCTGGTAAGCAACAGGTACTGGTGAATGTTATATCCCTTCTCCTCACCCTTCTCCAGAAGCTGCTTCTTGCCTGTGTTTCTGCTTTTCCAAAAAATCAACTTGGAGCTGCTGGCAAGAGATGGCCTGTAAAATAGACTGCTTTTTTCTGGGGAGTTATATTTTTGTTCATCAGGAGGTGGCAAGCTATAGACCAGGGGTTGTCTGTTTTTACAAATAAAGCGTCCTGAGAACATAGCCACGGCTATTTGTTCCTATGTTGTCTGTGACTGCCTGTGTGTTACAGGGGCAGAATTGAATAGTCAAAACCTGCAAATCGTGTAGCCAGCATGAAAAAGTGCCGATCCCTGTGTACCTCACTTGCAGCCCGATCTTTTAGGCCTAGTTGGATTTCTTTCTTAGTGATGTCATAACCAGTTCTAGTTTTCCTTTAGCAGAAATTTGTCCCAAGAATTGCTAAATGTATGTAAGTATATGTTTATATCTGTGTGTACTCATACACACATTTGTTGAGTTATGTCATTGTCATTTTTCCTGGTGGTGACAGGAGAGGTGGTGTGCTTTCTGCTCATGTATCTCTGTGTGTATTTGCTCCTGCAGTCAGCATCATGCATGAGGATTGGTGCTGGAAGAACAAGAGTCTGGAGGTAGAAGTTCTGGAAGATGACGTGTCAGCGGTTGAGTTTAGACAGACGGGCTACATGCTGAGATGCTCTCTGTCTCATGCCATCACTCTGGTATGTGTGGCTGTGGTGAGTCTGTGGAAGAGACTCAACTTGTAGAAACAAAGAAAGACTAGCACGCCAGAATGTTCTAACTATAGTCAAGTCAAACTTCCTTTTCTGTCCTTCAACTTGCCCACTGTCAGGAAGGCGTAATCAGGAAGCATTTAAAGTCCCTTAGTGGGATGATGCCTGGATTTAGGAGATTCATTAAGAGGTGCCACCAAGGATATGTGTTCTAGTGCAGAGTTGACATAGTGGTGCAGGGCCACTCGTGAATTTTCTAAATTGTCTTGATGTCAAGCTGTGACAAATACCATGTTCGGGTCTCAGTTTCTCAGTAGAAAAACTAAGGCAGCTGGCAATTAAGTGACTGCTTATGTTGGACACTGGAGGAATTGAAACTGGCATTTCAAATACCAGCTTATTGCCCTAATTTCTTGACTATAAAAACTCGACAAACCATTTTGTTATAGGAGATGGGCAAATGACTATCCAGTTGAGAATGAGTGACAGACATTTACAAAACCGCTCCTTTTCAGCAGTGGATTTCTGGTTAAGAGTAGGATCCATATTCCTTGATAATGGCCAATAAGGCCCTTCCTGACTCCAACCTTCCCTTTTACCCTGGGTCCCTGCCACCCTGGCCTTTTCCAGTTCCACATCAAGCTTGTTCTTTCCTCAGGGCCTTTGCACATGTTCTCCTTTCTCGCTGGAATGCTGTGTCTTTTCCTGATGGTTTCTTCTTATCGTTCAGGCCACAACCCCACACTTAGCTGCTCAGGAGAGGGCTGTTATGACAGCTAAAGAACCCTCTGCCAGGATCGCTCTTGATCCCACTCCCCACTTATTTTCTTCATAGCTCCATCACTTACTAGCTGCAATTACTAATTTATCGGAGGACTCGTTGACTTTCTGTCTTCCCATATTAGAATGTAAGCCTCCTGGAACAGAAGCCACATCACTGCCCCCCAAGGCCCAGCAGTGTGTCTGTCACATCGCAACATCACAGGTGCTCAATAAATATTAGTTGATCGAATGAAAGAGCATGATTTTGCTGGAAGTTCTGGAAGGTTTTTAATTTTCCTATGGCACCCAACTGCTCAAATGATTAATGGGCAAAACAGATGACTGGTTTGGAAACAGAAATATTATTCATCATTGTGGTGTCTCCATCTCTCCTAGTAAGTCATTGTATTGGCTTTGATCCTTTAGGAGTTTTATCAGGATGGAAATGGACCTGAGAACGTGGGGATTTATAACCTCTCCAAAGGAGTCAACCGATTCTGCCTCTCCAAGCCTGGTAAGTTTGGAAGGATTGATGTGCTGCAAATTAGAGAAGTGGAAAGGCAGCAGGGATGGCTCATAGGCGTTTCTCCCTGCCTCGGTTCTGTTTTCACCAGGCACCCATTTCAGCTGTGTTTGGCACACTCTTGTTTTTCTGTCTCCCTTGGATTTGATTTGGGTAGACATTGCTGGGCCCTTTTACCTCTACAAATATTATACCATTGGTCAATGACCTTGCTTTATAGTGATCTTTTAAAGTCGAATCATCTCCCACTTGGTTTAAAATCCTTTCATGGCTTCTGTCTCTCTTTGAACTTTTTTGAGATAGAACTTGCATACCATGAAATTCACCCATTTAAGATGTACAAAAAAATGATTTTTCTTGAATTCACCAAGTTACACAGCTGTTACCATAATCCAGTTTTAGAACATTTTTGTTACCCTAGGCAGATCCTTTGTGCCTTTTGACAGTTAATCCCCGTTTCTGGCCCCAGGCAGTCATGGGTTTATTTTCTGTCTCTATGGACTTTCCTTTTCTGGACATTTCATATGAATGATATTGTACAATACTGGTATTTTCCCTGGCTCCTTTCATGTAACATGTTGTTTTTGAAGTTGTGGCATCTATCAGTAGTTGGTTCCTTTATGTTGCTGAATAGTATCTGTTGTGTGGATAGATTACGCTTTGTGTATCCACTTGCAGATGGTAGATATTTGGTTGGTCTCCAGTATTTGGCTATTACAAATAGTGTTGCTATGAACATGATTTATGTCCATAAAAGTCTTTGTATATTTTCATTTTCCTTATCTAGATACTAGGAATAGAATTGTTGGATTGTATGGTCAAATTATGTTCTTTAAAGAAATCATCATATTGTTTTCAAAGGGGCTGTACCATGTGGCTCTCCCACTAGCCATACATGAGGATTCCTGTTTCTCCACATTCTTGCCAACATCTGTCATTACTTTTTTCATTTTAGCCATTCTGGTAGGTGTGAAGTAGTATCTCGTGTTTTATTTTGCATTTTCCTGATGAATAATTTAGTGGCTTCTCTTGCTTCCTGAGATAAAATATACAATCTTAATCCGACCTTGAGCTCTTGTATGACCCAGCCCTGCTGGCCTCCCTCTCCTCCAGCCACTCTGTCCTTCCAGGTGTCGGTTAGGCTGCCTTTGACTGCGCGTAACGAAACCCATACAACAGTGCCATCAAATGGAACGAAGTCTGGCAGTGTGTGACTGCCTGTAGGTTCAGCAGCTGGTGGATGTTGGGGTAGTGTCTGAGCTTCTTTTGATCTTTCCCTTGTATTTTTCACCTTCTGTTTTCAAGATGGCTATGGTTGCCTCATAAAAACTTATAATGTTTTAGGGCAGGAGGGTGAGGTGGGAACAGGCAAACACCTTCCCAAGTACCTTGCTCCAGTAAGTTGCTTTTATGCATCATTGGCCAGAACCGTGTCACCTGGTCACCTCCAGCTGCAAGGAAGGCTGGGACAGTTGGATATATTGCCCAAAGCTGGGCACATTGCCGCCTGAACATTACCAGGGAGTGTCCTGAAGGCAGGAAGGACAGTAGTTTAGGAACCAGCTCTTTAGCCCTGATGCAGAGACTATTCTCTGTGGAAGTGCCCCCACCCTTCTGGCCTTCTCCGACTAGCCTGGGCCTTCTTACCTATCACTTCTTGGCTCAGCATTACTTACCCTGGGGAGGATGGTCTCCAGTGTCAATAAGGCCTCCCCTGGACAATTGCTCTCAGCACCCGGCTCTGTCCCCTTCCTGCATGGGCCTTAGTCGGTCTATCTGTGGCTATCAACTGCCTCCTCTTTCTGGAGGGTAAGTGCCATGAGGGCAGGGACCACAGCTGTGCCACTCCTCATTGCAGACCAGCACCTAGCATGGCGCCTGGCCTGGGGGAGGTGCTCTGTCAATATCTGTTGAATGAAGGACAGACTGAATGAACCGAATCATTCTTTTCAGGGGTAGCTGTACCGGGGCTGCTCTGTGCAATGAAGACAGCTGGGTGGTCTGAACTAATTTCAGGTTTTTGTAGGAAGTATGGCCAAAATACTGGCAAATGATCATTTGGGGAAATACATTGTTATACTTTGCTTCTTCCTGAAATTGTCTTTATTCCTCTGGCAAATGATGTAGTATGCTCTTACCCTACATAGGCTCATGGCATAAAAGTGTTTTCTATAATGGTTTCATAATTTTCTGAGGGTTTCTTACTCCCTACCCCCTTTTAGGAATAGTTATAGGAAGGAATTGAGGCTTTGGTTAGGTTTCTTTATTTTTTGAGTAGAGGTCTCACTCTGTTGCCCAGACTAGAGCACAGTGGCACAATCACAACTCACTGCAGCCTGTACCTCCTGGGCTCAGGCAATCCTTCCACCTTAGCCTCCTGAATAGTTGGGACTACAGGCAACTGCCACTATGCCCAGCTAATTTTTTCAATTTTATTTTTTGTACTGATGAGGCCAGGCTGGTCTTATACTCCTGGGTTCAAGCAGTCCTCCTGCCTCAGCCTCCCAAAGTGCTAGGATTACAGGCATTAGCCACTGTGCATGACTGACTGTCTTTTGGATCAGATCTTTAACAGAATCTTTTAAGTAGAAAATTGTTCTCAGTGTAATTTGCGTAGAAATGTACTCTCTGTTCTTCGTGTGCATATGTTTGTTAGCTTGGTCTGTGCAGATTCATTGCTGTGAGTTGTTAAATTATGGAAAATGAAAACCCTATGCCTGTGAGTGGGCTGTTAAATGGATTGGGTCATTGGTGAGAAGTCATCGTGGGCAGCAGAGAGATGTCGGCTTGGAATTTCTCATCCCATTAATGCAGTGTGTTTGAGTTTCGAATGGAAGGGGCTGCCTTTGAATTTCAAATGTCGTGATTGCTCCACCTAGTAGATGCCATTGTCTGAAAATTACCTTTGATTTCCTGTCTGCAGGTGTGTACAAAGTGACCCCTCGCTCTTGCCACCGGTTTGAGCAGGCGTTCTACACCTATGACACGTAAGCCCAGATGTGGAATACTTGGTGGTGTTTGTGTGCATTCTGTGCAGAGAGTGAGCGTGCACCTCTTTCTTCTTCATTTACTTCTGAGAACAAAAGGAATTTTTACTTTTTTTTTTTCTGGAAGAGGCAAGGTTTGGCATTAAACTGACTTCCCAGATAAGGGTTTTAAGTTACTGGATTAGTCACTGAGGAACTAGAGATAGAATCTCTTTCCCAAGAGATCTGTAACCCTAGGATAGAAGACTGTATAGAAGACTGTGTTTTTGAAGTGATTTAAATATAATCTTTGCCAAATCTCCCAGTCCTCACTGATGGGAATCTCTCAAACGCAAGTCTGCCATTTTTATATTCTTACATGCGTATGTGGGTTTCCCTGGAAACTGTAAGTGTAAAATTTTGGAGTATAGGATTAGTTTACTCTTTAAAATACTTGTGTGGCTCTCTAGCAAGTTCCTCCCAAACTTAAAGCAACATCCCCCAGGAAGGGGGCCCCAAAAGAGTGTCAGTGATCTTCAAGAATGGCCAAGTAATATTACTAGTGTTATCTCCCTACTTCTTTGATTTATAGGTCTTCACCCAGTATCTTGACGCTGACAGCCATTCGCCACCATGTCCTTGGAACTATCACCACCGACAAAATGATGGATGTCACCGTGACTATCAAGTAAGATGAGTGTTCTACGGTAGGCTGGGAATGGGGAGATGAGGCCTGGGAATCTCAGACTCTGAAAATGCGTTTTGATTTCTTGTCTCTGGGTGTACATACAAGTGGCCTTCCCTCTTATATAGGACATAGCTGCCAATTCATAGCAGCCTTGATCCTTTCTTTTATGATTCAAGAATTACCTGTGGGCAAGGAAGAGCCTTGCAACAGCTTGTTTCAGTATCTTAAATTTCTGTTTGAACTCTATACTTCTTGTCTTTGCTAAGGAGGAAAAAACCTCTGGGGTTTGTTCACTATATTTCAGGTATTTTAGCAAATTCAAAAAAATTGCCTATTTTTCTTTAGACCTTTTCCTGAAGGCTTAGGAAATAGAGATGATACCTGATACAAGATGGATTCTGAGAGAAAGCATTTGAAAGGCAGTCCCTTACCAGGGGCCATTATCATGTAGTTGTCACCTCTGAGGGCATTTTTACAGTGTGGTGAGGGACATCTGACACCCGAATTTTCTTGAGAAATTGGGATCTTCAGTGTGTAGGCACTGGGCATGTGAGGCGCAGCCTGGAGCATACATATTTGCCAAGGAGGTCGACAGTGGTCAAAGAGTCATATGCATCACTGTAAAGTGACCTCTGTACTGAGTGCTATGAGCTTGTCCTGGGGCTAGGGGCATGTAGGAGAGTAGGCTGGCAGATGCCAGGCCATGGTAAGGTTCTCAGTTTTTGTCTTACAGACTGCATTGACATGTTTTGAGTAGAGGGATGGCTTTTGTTTCAAAAGGCTCCCCTAGTTTCTGAGTGGATGGCAGAAGGGAGGGGCCCAAGAGTGGGAGGCGATGGAGGCAGGGGGAGGAGGCTCGCAGAGTCCATGGGAGAGGGGATGGGGGCCTCAGCCAGACTGATGGCTGCGAAGACGGGGATCCGTGGACGGAGAGTTGTTGAGGGCCAGAGTCGACAGGACGTGGCATTGGACTGCCCACTGGGCCAGGGAAGGAGGGTATCAGGGATGGCCTAGCTTCTGGTTTGATGAGAGCTAGATTTTAGGGGGAGGGTGTGCTGGGGGCCTGGTATGGCCCAACATGGTGCTGGCACAGTGCCAATGACTCTTCTGCTTGGGAAGTGTTAGTTATTGGTATAACTAGAAATCCATGTTCTCACCAATAGTGACTCCATGTGACCTTCCTTTCATCTTGACAACATTCATTTTTGTAACTTAAGAAGGGCTTTTGTGTCGCTTGCTTGTGCCGGGGATTGTATGGGAAGTGCTTTCCAGCTGGACATAGCCACTTGTATCCACTTGACTTACTGATCCAAAGCCAGATGTGGTAACCACCCTCCACACCCTCCTTGGTAGTTGTCCCTGTTTAGAAATGGCAGCCCCCTTTTTCTCATTGTCCCTTGATTTTTTTCCTTCTCTTACACCCCATATCCAGCCAGGCCCTCAGCAAATCTTTGGCTTTGCAACCAAAATATATCTGCAATCCATCGATCTGTCCCTTAACACTCCTCCATCAGACTTTGGTGTGACCCATGCCTGTCTGTCACTTGGGTCCTTGAGCCAGCTGCCGTCTGGTCTCCCTGTCTCAGCTGTTGCTCTGTGACAGCGTGCTTGCTGTGCGGCAGCTGGGTGGTCCTTGGGTGGTGGAGATCTGATCATTCCTCACCTTAAACTCAGTGACTGCATCCTGCTCAGAATCAAGCCCAAGGTTGCTCCGAGCCTGAGGCCTCAGTCCGACACCTGCGGCCCTAGTTTCTGTCTGACCCATCTGATTCCTCTCTGGGTCCCTCTGCCTGGGCTATGTTGGCCTCCTTGCTGTCCCTTGAACATCCGAGTGAATTCTGTCTCCCAGGGCATGGCACACAGCATTCCTCTGCCTGAGCCACATGCTGACTCTCCCTAACTTCAGACACTGCTCAGTGTCACCCTGTCAGAGAGGCTTGGCTGCCCCTGTAATGTAGAATAGCTCCCAGTGCTCTCTTCTCCCATGCGGTTCTGTTTTTCCTCATTGTGCTGATTGTCTGATATAATCTGTTTATTGTCTGCCCCTTCCCACTGGAGTGTGGGTTCCTCAGGGGTGGTTGTCCGCCTTATTGACGCTGTGTCCTCAGTGCCCAGAGCAGAGGTGGGCCCATGAGCAGTGCATGCTCTCCGTGAAGACTGAGTGACAGAATGGGGTAGGGGTGTGGAGAGAGTCCCTATGCCATGTGGACACTGACAGACTTTATCAATTCATCGTAAGTCAATGGCATTTTATTCCAACCCAGATCTGCCAGATCCTGCTGCCATCATTACCAAGTCCAGTTTTTGTTTTTTGTTAAACTATTTGTCTGTTTAAAACAGAAGACTGTGCCACTGGGGTGTCATTAGAAGGCGTTCAGTGTTTTACTCCATGTGGCAGCCAGAGTGCGTCTTCCGTGGTGGAGATCCCATCATTCCTGCTCGAAGAACGTCAACCTCTCACTGAGCACAGGGATGAGCGGCCACCTCCTGTGGGCTCCCTTTTCTCTTTTCCAGGTCTTCAATTGACAGCGAGCCCGCCTTGGTCCTAGGCCCTCTGAAGTCCGTGCAGGAGCTGCGGAGGGAGCAGCAGCTGGCCGAGATTGAGACCCGCCGGCAGGAGAGGGAGAAGAATGGCAAGGAGGGGAGCGGTGAGGGGAGGACCAAGCCTCCTGTGCAGGAGATGGTGGAGGAGCTGCAGGGCCCCTTCTCCTATGACTTCTCCTACTGGGCACGGTGAGCTCTCACGCTCATTTCTCATCAGTTTCCCCTGTTTGGAGGATCAGAACTGGTCAAACGGAAGTCTTTTAATTGTTTTAGGTCTGGAGAGAAAATCACTGTTACACCCTCATCTAAAGAGCTGCTCTTTTATCCCCCTTCCATGGAAGCCACCGTCAGTGGCGGTGAGTGTCAACTCCGTGAGCGAATGTCATGCCTTTGCAATTGTTCCTTCACCTGTGTTTAAACATTGATTTGTGTTGTTACTTTAGTGAAAGCCATCTTTGTAAGCCCCCTTGCATATCCTCTCTGGCACACAGATGTTGCTTTTTGATGGGTGAATGAATGAACGATATAAGTAAATCAAAGTAACTGTTTCTATTAGAATTGAGGTGATCTTTTTGGAAAAGACCTTGGTTTTCTTTGACATTATCAGAGTGACACTGGAAGGTAGTTGCAGAGCAAAATCACTAGTTTCTAAAAAGTGAATGTTTGCCTTGATGTGTCTGAATTGTTAATGACTTTTCTTTTGTTTGTCAAAGTGTGATGGGAGTGTGATGGGAGGATGAATGATTGAAGTGATTGTGGAGTATTTGTCTTTTGGCAGCTGAGAATTCTTTGAGTGGTGGGCATAGGGCTTGTGTTTGGAAGTGGAGTGTCTGAAGAGCATGGCTGTCTCACAGGCAGGCTCTGTGGGGCAGCCTCCGCACTGGGCCCTCTGGAGGCTGAGCAGCATAGCCTCCTCTCTGTTGTAAAGGGTTCACTCCTGAGCTGTGTCCTTGTGAGAACCCCAGGAGAATGGCAGTGAAAACCCGGCTTCACCGTTTGTTCAGCTCACCTGCTCAAGTCCTCGCTGGCTGAGCAAAGCCTTTCAGGGGTGGAAAGAGGCTCGGGCTGCCTCCAGTTAGAGCTTTCTGGGGTCTTAAGAAACTTTGTTTAGAACTAGCTTCTAATACCTTAGATCTAGGCCCTCCTTCCATGGGAAACTCAGCCAAAAGGCTCATCTCTCTGCAGTGGCATACTATTCTTGAGTTTCTTTCTCCCCTTTTTAGAAAACTGCCCAGGGAAGCTGATCGAGATCCATGGGAAGGCAGGTCTGTTTCTAGAGGGCCAGATCCACCCTGAGTTGGAGGGAGTCGAGATTGTCATCAGTGAAAAGGGCCTGAGTTCACCCCTGATCACAGTCTTCACTGATGACAAAGGGGCTTACAGGTAAGCCTATGGATAAGTACGTTTCCTTGGGACCAACTGGGGAGCCTGATATTCTTGGGGTCAGTGATGCTTCCTCTAAGATTTGAACCAAGGCTGTCTGTAGCATTTTGCTTTCTCTTCTTCAGTGTTGGCCCCCTGCACAGTGACCTGGAGTACACCGTGACCTCACAGAAGGAGGGCTATGTTTTGACTGCGGTGGAAGGAACCATAGGAGACTTTAAGGCTTATGCCTTGGCCGGTGTAAGCTTTGAGGTAACACCTTATTTTTACAAGGCAGTTTTATTGAGGTATAATTAACATACAATGAACTTGCACAAAAAAACATGCAACTTGGTGGTTTTGACATATAAATACGTCCATGAGCACACCTCCACAGCGTAAATAGTCAATGCGTCCATCACTCCCAGGCTTCTTCCTGCCCCTTGGTGATCCCCCTCAACATCTGATCTGCTTTATGTCACTGTCGATTCATTTGCATTTTCTGGAGTTTGTTTTGTATAAATGGAATCATACAGGATGTACTCTCTCTCTCTCTCTTTTTTGGGTCTGACTTCTTTCACTCAGCCTAATTTGGAGAGCTATTGACTTTAGCATATTTATGTGCCTTTTGAGAAGCGGTCTAGGCTTCCATCCTTAGCTGTTCTATGTTGAAGGACACAGAATGTTCTTCTGGTAGCGTCTGCCTTCCAGCTCTCTCCCACCAGCCCTTCTTGGGAAGAAGCATGCTGTGTGTTGTACAAAGTGAGTCTGGAAGTCCTTGAGTATGGGCATTTACAAATTGCAGCCCAAAGGAGAAGGTCCGGTCACATCACATGAAAACTTAAAATTCTGTATTGCTGAATACATTTTAAGCCAAATTGAAAGATCTCCAGACTGGGAAGCAATATTTGTATCATAAACAATATCTCCAGTTTACAAGAAGCCCCAACAATCAATAAGAAAGAGTCAACCCAATAGAAAAAAATGAACAAAGGCTGTGGAAAGGCAGCTCATGGAAGTAGTGCAAGTGATCAGCAAACTCAGAAATGCCCAGCCTTGGCAGGCACAGAGGACATGCAGAGGAAGCTGATATCCAAACACTGGCTTGAGGAGTTAGATTTGCAATAATTAAGACGATATCTGTTGTTTGGGAATGTATATTTTCCTATGCATACATAATTTACAGAACTGTTTGTGGCCACAACCACTTTGGAACACAGTTCACTCATAGCTTTCTGATGTAAAGTGCACATATTCAACATTCCACTCCTAGGAATTGATTGCTCAGATGAAGAGAAGACCTAAGTGCACAAAGATGGATGCTTGGAGACATTGTGGTTGACTTTCTTTATTAGGAAAACAGGTGGCTGCCTGCATGCTGACCCTTTCTTTAGAATGTTATTTAAAGGTTGGACATGGTGACTCATGTCTGTAATCCCATCATTTTGGGAGGCTGAGGCAGGAGGATCACTTGAGACCAGTTTGAGACAAAACTGGATAACATAGTGAGACACCTGTCTCTACAAAAAAATTTTAAAAAGCTGGAGCTATGATGTGCGCCTGTAGTCCTAATTGTTAGGGAAGCTGAGGCAGGAGGATTGCTAGAGCCCAGGAGTTTGAGACTAGCTTGGCATGTAACAAGACCCTGTCTCTAAAAAAAGCAAAATGTTATGCGGTAGTTAAGAAACAGTGAGGCAGACCTCTAAATCCGGGGCTGCAGAAGAGGAGAGCGAGGACAGATTGTTGAGGGAGAGAGCGAGGTGCAGAGCTGTATGTGTAATGTACCATTTTTGTTTTGCCTTCTCCCCTCAGTGAACTCACTGGCCTGTCAACAGTATACATGATGTTTATAAAATTTGCATGGGTATAGAAAGAGTTCTGGAAGACTCCACACCAAACTTTAACATTAGTTTCCTGGGGGGAGGAAGAATAGACCTCACCCCACTCCCATGAATAACATTAAGAGAAAAAGTACTTCTAAGGGTTACCTCTTGGCTTGTGGAAATATCATCTTCCTTGTTAACAGGAGCTTACCCTTGTCCTGGTTTTGTCTGCTCGTTCCCAGATAAAAGCTGAAGATGACCAGCCTCTCCCTGGGGTCCTCCTATCCCTCAGCGGTGGAGTGTTTCGTTCTAACCTCTTGACTCAGGACAATGGCATTCTGACGTTCTCAAACCTGGTAATGTGTCCTGCAGTTCACTGCCTGCCTGTCTTCTCCTAGAGAGGGCCAGAAGGTGGCGAGCTTGACTGTGTGTGACTTGACAACGTGAGAGCAGAAAACTAACACGGGTGGTTCAGGTTTCTTAGGGATCACATTAGAGTACTGCTCTTGCTGCAACGCCATGCTCCTAATTCGTGTTCCCTTCCACACGCACTTGTTTTCTGGTCACCCACTTGTCACTAACAGTGAATTAACTTCCCTGGCCACAGAGGCTCCGCTTCTTGGTGTCCCTTTGTTTTGCCACGAGATTGTGGTATTTATAATTTCGAGCCTTGTTTGTGGTTAGCTCGTGTTTCTTCTGCAAAGCCACTCCATGCGGTGGGAAGATGGCACCAATGAGGCCCTGACCCCATGGGATTCAGGAAGTGCATGTTCATTAGCTTCTTGTCAATTGAGCAAATAAGGGGGCTATTGTGGGGATATCACAGGCCGGAAGTGAGGTGTCTGATAGATCTCATGCTCTCCAGATGCCCACTGCTCCTAACTTGCTGTGTCTTATCAGGCAAGTTACTTTACCTCTCTGAGCTTCCGCTTCTTCATTCATAAAATTCAGATGCAACTCCTACCTCACAGGGTGGTTGTAGGCACATGATAATGACAACTGCCGTTGCTAGAACCATGATTGTCATGACCTGGCTGTGACTGTTGATTGTAGAGATGGGGCTATGTTTCTGGCTGTCTGGGAAGCCCTGGAGCTCCTGTGGTGTAATTCTGGCCAATCATGACTTTCGTCCCCATCCCTTAAGCTATACCTAGACATGTCCTGAGGCCCATGTGATTGTCTTGACAGAGCCCTGGCCAGTATTACTTCAAGCCCATGATGAAGGAGTTCCGGTTCGAACCGTCCTCACAGATGATCGAGGTGCAGGAGGGCCAGAACCTGAGGATCACTATCACAGGGTACCGCACAGCCTACAGGCAAGTGGCCCCGCTGGAGATTCACTCATGCTGGCGCCCAGAAGCACACCCCGGGCTTCATGTGGGTTTTAACTGGGAGGAAGGGAGAGGAGACATGAGGCCAAGGTCTCTTGGCTGCTGCCCTTCTCTCCTAATATCTCAGCCTGGTGGGTCAGGCTTAAATTTTCTGCTTTGAAATTGGCATGAGAGAGCTTATTGAATTGCTCAAATATTTTTTATTTTAATTTAAATTTGGGTTACATTTTTAAAAAGAGAAAATGTATTCACCTGAGTAACTCTTCAAAATGTTGCAAATAGTGTGCTGTGGTGTCAAGTTTCCTTCTGTCCTTGTCTCGCATTTACCCAGGTTCCCCTTCCAGGAGACAGCTAGTTTTTCCAAATCCTTTTCCAAATCCCAGTTTTTCCAAATCCTTCCAGAGATAATTTATTCAAATACTAGGTAGGAATGGTTAGATGTATTCATACATATATACATGTATACACATAGACTCATATATACATTTTTTTACTCACATATGCAAAAGCACTTTAGATGAAGATTAACCAGAAAGATTGGGCTTAGAAAGTGGGCTATTTTCAACTGAATATGTGGAATAAGAGAGGAAATGAGTTATTTCCATGATATTTTATGTTTCATTATTTAAAATAGGCCTAGCAAGAATAAAATAAAGCCTAGTCTCCTAAAATGTCAATTTTCTGAGCACCCTTCAGATGGTATGAGAAGGGAAACTAGTGACAGCTTGCCCTCTGGTGGGGCAGGCGTGGTTAGGAAGTGGCACAGCCACACCGGGTGCCCAGGTCATGGGGTGCAGTTCCTACTGAGCTGTTTGTCCCCGTAACTGTTGTCAGCGTGGAACGCTTTCCCTGGGCTCTTCTGGGTGCTTCGGACAACCGTGGGTGCATCACGTTCTGTCTCTCGCCACGCTAGTTGCTACGGTACAGTGTCATCTTTAAACGGAGAACCGGAGCAGGGTGTTGCTGTGGAGGCTGTGGGCCAGGGTGACTGTAGCATTTATGGAGAAGACACCGTGACCGACGAAGAGGGCAGGTTTCGGCTGCGTGGCTTGCTGGTGAGCCCTGGAACGTGTCTTATTAGGGACCCCTTCTCATCCTGTGTCCACAGACTCCTAGGAGTGGGGTGGGTGAGAGGGCTGGGTGGGGGCCCTGGAACCTCCCAGTCTCTGTCTTAACTGGCAGGTCTCCCCGACAGGTCAGGTTGGAATTCTGTGACCAAATCAAGTTTGACAACCATGGGTTTGGTGCAACTTTTCCCTAGCAGTGTGGTGATGACTTATGCCTGGGCTCTCAGACCAAGTGCCTGTTGGGCCAGAATGACTGAAGGAGGCTGGGGGTGGGGGTGGGCAGTAGGGCGTGGTGAGGACTTTGGACAGGGATTGCCCTGGAAAGGGGACGGCCTGTTACTCAGCCCCAGCTCATTGGAGCCATGTGGGAAGACAGACGCAGGGCTGACAGATTGTTTGAATTTTTGAAAGAGAAATCAGAAATTCAGATTTCTATGTGAAAATGCCCAATTTTTAGATGTTAACAACTAATTAGGAGGAAAAATATCCCCACACCTTCTTTGACTTATTGGTCCCTGGCTGCTAAATTGCAACATTTGGCTTAAGGTTTGGTTCATTTGTTCATTCATTATTTTTTTTTTTTTTTGCTCATTCAACAGGCAGTATATATCATAGAAGTCATTAAGAAGGAGTGTGAGTTGAATAGTACCCAGTGGACTGGAATCTGGTCCCCAGCCTTTCAGATTCACAAACTGAGCATTTGTAGTTGACCCCAGAGACAGTAATACTAACTTGATAACAGATGAATGTTTACCTCAATCACGTGAGCTGAGATGCAAGTCTGTTTCCCAGTTTATCTATGTATCTTGGGGTGAGACTGCTTTTTCCTAAGACAAGGATACTCCTGTTGTGTGTCCAGGGCAGCCTACTCTCAGGTTTTAGGGTACCTGGACACCTGGAAGTCAGGCCAGATAGTGGCTTGGTGAGCACAGAGTGTTCAAGCCAAAGGAAGTGGGTGGATGTGGCCATGCTCAGGTCAGGGATATAGATGTTATGATCCAGAGAGGAGGCAGAGCTGGATGCGCTCTGACTGCAAGGCCTCTGACCCCTGCTCTGCCACTGCTCCCCCTGGCATGTGTCCTCAGAGTCATCATGCCGGTGGCTTCTTGCCATCCATGTGGGTCTGGACCTGTTTTACATGGCCGCTCCCTCCTACTGTCCCTGTCCTCTGGCTGCTGCCCAGCAGCTCACGTTCCCCAGGCATAAGAGAGTCTGCTGTCCTCCAGGCCTGACTTCCTTCCTCATAGCAATGATTCCAGAGAGGGTGGCATGCTGCTTTCTCGTGCTGGCTGTGGCCGCGTATGGGGAGGGGGAAGGGCGTAGAGCCCAGGCCTCATCTCCACACTGAGTGCAGGCATAGCCTCTGCAGGCTGTCCTTTGTTCCCTACATGGATGCCCTTCTGCTCTGGTCTGCTGGGGTTCGAGTCCTGCCTCAGTCATTCCCTAGCTTGATGAGTTTAGGTACGATTTCCGTCCTTTCCTTGTCTATTTTGTCATCTGTAAAATGAAGCTGAGAGTAACATCTACCTCATTGGATAACTGAATTTTAAATGAGTCAACACAAGTAAAACACACAGAGGCTGCCTGGCACTTCACCCTGTCATTGTGTAGTTTTAAAAGCAAGAACAGACAAAACCTCCCGAGGAGAACTGCGAGCTGACTTCTGCTTACAGCTTTTCTCCATCTAGGGGCAGTAGCCGGAGGGCTGTGGGGCCCTTGCAGTTCAGCTCTCAGCTAGGGCCTCCCTCGTCGATTTTTGCTTCGAGAATGGAAATTCCACAGCACCCTCTCTGTTCCTCCTCGTGCCTTGTTGACCTAGACATGTTCTGAACTTCCTGACTTCACACATTTTAGTTAATTTAAACCAAACATAGTTTTCTTCTTCACTGCAATAAGATTTCCCCTTTTTTGGTAGAAACAGCCTCTCTATATTGCCCAGGTCTCAAACTCTTGGCCTCAAGGGATCCTCCCGAGGTAGCCTCCCAAGTAGCTGAGATTACAGGACGAGGCAGATTTCCAGATTTCCATTGTAATTGATGCTGCCTCCTCCTCCCACTGCTTCCTTCTCTCACAAGTGTTCCTTCACCACTGCCCTCCCCCCTCACCTTTCTGTACTATTTTGAGGTGCCCCCTGGTGGCAGCCCATGCCTTCCATGTGCAAGGCCTCCTGCAGACCACAGACTCTGAAGGGATAGCCTTTGCTGTGTCTCCTCAAGGGTTTGGGATTTGAGTTTGCCATTCTCCCAGAGGACGACTTACTGGAGGTCCCTTGTTGAAAACTTCTAAGGATCTTGGCCCCAGTGAGGAGGCTCACCTGGGCCCAATTGTTCTTACACCTTGCCGGGCAGTGCTGTCAGGACACGTCTTGGGGAGGGAAGCTGCACCCCAGGCAGTGCTGCCAGAGGATGGCGGTGAATCCTTGAGACAGTTGGCCACAAGCAAGGAGGCAGGGCTGGTTAGGTTGGAGCGTTGCCCTGATGGTCACCTGGCTGGCCTAGACTCTGACCGAGTGGCTCCTCCCCGCTTCAGGGGCCTGTCTCTCCTTTTCTTCAAAACCAGCTCCTTGTGTATTTTTCTCTCTAAGGTGCAAATAGCTGTTTTGAACGAACCTGGTGCTGCCAGTCCTAATTGGGCTGTACAGTGAATGAACATGCCTTTTAGTACTCATAAATGTTTTTAAAAATAACAGCTTTGTTGTTTTTGTAAAAGCTCATTATAAAATAACTCAAAAAACGTGTAGGAATGGGCAAGCCCTTTAGGGAGCAGCCCTCTCCAAAGCCCCTACCTGGAAAATCCTCCCAGATGTGGTATGGTGAAGGCATTTCTGACAGTTCTACCTGCACACACAGGTGATGGAGATATATCATGTCAGGTGACTAGAGCATATGATCCACTGTCCCTGCTAGTTTAGAAATACACTGCTATAGAGTTTTCTTTCTCCTCTTACATACACATGGACGCCTTTGAACTCAGCCCAGTGCTTCTGATCCTGATGCGTCACTGGGTTGGTTGTGTTCTTGGTGATTGGAAATTGGTTGTTTTAAAAGTTTTTTCACCAGACTCGGTGGCTCAAGCCTGTAATCCCAGCACTTTGGGAGGCTGAGGAAAGAGGATTGCTTGAGCTCAGGGGTTCAAGACCAGCCTTGGCAACTTGGTGAGACCTTGTCTCTACAATAAGTAAAAAAATAAGTCTGGTGTGGTAGCACATGTCTGTAGTTCCAGCACTTTGGGAGGCTGAGGTGAGAGGATTGGAGGAGCAAGGTGAGAGGATCTCCTGAGCCCAGGGGTTCGAGACCAGCCTGAGCAACTTGGCGAGACCTAATCTCTACAATAAATTTCAAAATTAGCTGGGCACGGTGGTATGAACCTGTAGTTCTCAGTTACTTGGAAGATTGATGCAGAAGTATCACCTGAGCCCAGCAGGTCGAGGCTGTGGTGGCATGAGCATGCCACTGCACTCCAACCTCGGTGACAGAGTAAGACTGATTCAGAAAAAAAAAAGTTTTTTAGAATAATGACTTTTGGTAAACATGATATATGCCTATAGATTTGAGCAACAGAATAACCTCAGGTCCCTCTTCCCAGAAATAATATTCGTCGTAAGCATTTGGGAGTACCATCCCTATTTCACTCAATGCAAATATACAGGTAAAGGGGCGGGTGAATGCGGAAGAAAGGAATTTTAGCAGAGTAAGAGCGTAATATGCTTGTAATTTTGAAATAAGAAACCAACTTTGGTTTTCCCCGGGTAGAAGAAAATGAAACTGAACTGGAATTGAAGCAATTGTAGAACTTTAGATGTTTCTCCACCAGGGGTGCTTTTAAAGGAACTCTAAGCTCTTAAGAATGTTACTAGGCCACAGATTGGGACAGAAAGTGAGAGAATGGAAATGCTTGGTGACGATGTGCAGTCAAGCCAGGCTCAGATCAGGTGTGTTGGGACAGGGCCCCTTTCTAGCGAAGTGACTCCTGGGTTTATTTGCAGCCAGGATGTGTGTACCATGTTCAGCTCAAGGCAGAAGGAAACGACCACATTGAGCGGGCTCTCCCCCACCATCGGGTGATTGAGGTAAGGCGTCAGGTGCTGTGCCGCCCTTGGTTGGGTTGCTTCCCTGATCAGAAATCCTTGCATTCTCCTCCAGCTGTCTGCCTTTCGTCTGTGTGTGTGTTGGTGGGGGAACTTCATATCCTAATTAAGGGTCCTCTTAGAGTAGCGTCGTCTTCACCAGCAGCATCTTCTGTGGGTTTAATGAACAGCAGTGCTGTCATGCATCCAGAAAGGAAATTGGAACTGTTGTATCCCCACTGCCCCTGCAAGCTCTGATCATTATTCTGCAAGTTAAGGATCTTAAGGCACAAATAGCATTTCAAATCAAGGGAGGGTAATAAAGAGAACATGGGCATAGTTGGTAGCAGGGCCACCCACTTTCTTAAGTTCAGATGACCTTCCCCCTCCTGTCTGGGGGGCAGAGACCTTTGGTATTCAGTATCATGACTTAGCTAAATTAATCCCCAAAGAGGCTGTCCTCTAGGGCATAGAATGTGGTCGGGAGTCATTTGAAGTAAGGCTTTTCTCTGACTAACTCTCATTGTCAAGACTAGAAAGCTAGGGTAGGACAAGAGGAACTGCCTCTAGGTGACTTTATTTAGGTGGCTTTGTTAGGCATGACAATTGTCAAGTGTTTGGGGGAGGGTGATGGGCCATTTTGAACTCTGGACCTGGGAAATGAATTTCTCGATGTCTTTATGCCATCTAGCATTTCAAATGGCTGGAATGGCTGAATCTCAAACCAATATGCTTTTCAATTGTATATATTTTTGATATGGTAACTTAGACTGGGATCACAGGTAACGTGGACTGTGGCTGGGCAGGAATGGGAGGGAAGTGAACACTCTGGGGTCTCACCAGCTGCAAGCACAAACCCCACCCAGAGAGGCAGCTGTGACTGTCCTGCTCATGGCTGCAGCTTTCTCCTTTTCTTCAGAAAAGCTGGGAATCTGGCTTTGTATACAAAATTCCTCACTTTTAAAAATGCTGGCAAGCCGGCTCGGTGGCTCAGCTTGTAATCCCACGCCTTTGGGAGGCTGAGGTGATGGATTGCCTGAGCCCGCGGGTTCGAGACCCGCCTGCGCAACTGGGCGAGATCTCATCTGTACAATAAATCAAAAAT